AGTCCCAGCCGCCTCAGATGACCCGAGAGGCTGACTGGGATTAGCCCGTTTGCAGAAACGACTACGGGTATAATTTCGGTCGACCCCACATGTCGGTCACCTCGTGAGTCAGGTCCAGATATTTTGTTCGATTATCTGTTTCGGCTTTCACGAGGTTCTCATAATAGGGAATGGTAATGTTGACCCAAAATATCCTTGACTGTGCCCAGTTCATCAGCACAATATCAGGCTTATTCGCAAGAATAGTCCTGTCTGTGATGATGGCCCGGTCCCAGTAGAGCCTGACGCGGGCGTTTACGAGCACAGCTTCTGGCAAGTACTTGTAATACGGCAATTTCCGGTTCACGAGACTGTATTTCAGAGTGAGCTCCTGGTGTAGAATTCTGGCTACTAGGTGTAACTGTGCCTGTGCAAGTACTCAGAGTTAAAAAGCGCCGAACAACCGGAGATTACATGTCCAAGTGACTCACCAGGATAGCGAGAAGCTCAACAGATGTTGACGGTGCCATCCCTTAGGATGTAGGTGTCTCCGATAGTTGTTGGTCTTAATAACCTGATCCTGTATTGCATAGACAAAACCCTCGGTTTCCCCAAAGAAAACGTAGCCCGTGGAGGGAGGCAACTGTGTCTACAAAAGGCTCATGTAGAGACTTGTAGAACCTCCCGTTGAGCTCCTTCTCCTTCTATACGGTCTCCCGGTCGGAAATGCTCTGTACTGCCGGGTCTTGCCATTGATCGTTGACTAAGGATAGAGGGGTAAGCGCTTTATCACAAGAAATGACGTCCCTATAGGATGGATCATCCGATCTCGTCAGAAAGTAGTTACGGAGGCTGCACATTTCGCGATTATGCATGGTAAGTGCGCTTAAAAAGCTGCGCCCACCATATTTCCGCGGCAAGTACAGTTTCATAATCGAAGATCTCGGGTGATGTTTCCTATGGGACGTCATAGTAGTGCGGACTTTTCTATCCAGGGCGTTAAGGCGACACCGCGAAAAAATGCACCTCCTTTCATCGAATAGTATACGACAGTGACACCACTATCGAAAGTGGAATTTTGATATAGGTTAATTTGACTTTATCTTCAATTTGCTTGTTCAAAAACACGGTTGTATAATTTTGACTCAATCATAAATACTTGCGAAAACACCTCTAAAAAATCACTATAGTTGAGTTTAGAACAAAATTACGAAATCTATATACTTGGGAATCACTCAAATGTATTCATAATATCAATATTCATAATTTACTTGCTCATTATTTTGATTAATTAAATCACTTTTTTTAAATATTAAAAAAAACATTACAATGAATTGCACTTATTTTTTAGGGATTTTCAACCAAATAAGATGGTTTTACAGGTTCTTGACAACCTTTAGGTGTAAATACTATATAGTTATTGGAGTTGGTAGCACTGATATATCTATGTTTGTGCTTTCATGTTTCTCTGACTACCTTGCTACATATCTATTTATCCTATATTACACTACCTTGAATCGGGGTCCCTACGCCCTTAATTAGGGTGGTGTAATAAGAGAAAGAGAGTAAGGGCCGCTAACTAGGGTGGCAAAGTGGACCCGGTCTGCACGGTTTGCCACCGTACAGTGTAATAACACTTATGCCCCTATTACACTACCCTGAATCAGGGCCCTGAATGAAGGATGAGCGTAGCTCCTAATAGGGACGTAAGTTATTACACTACCCTGATTTTACGCCCTTACTCGGTCGTAGTGATAGGGGGGGGGGGGGTGGGACATACAAGTGAAAAAGTATATACATTTATTGAAACGATATTTTTAAACAGTATCAATATTATCACGTGATAAATATCGACATATCGTCATGTTTTGCATGATGTAGTAGGATAGGGGCCAACATTTTAATACTGGACGTTTTGAAGACAAAAAAATACAACAATTAACAGTAAAGAAAAGAGGAGTAGAAGAAAGACATGGGTGAAAGACTATTAAAAACTTAGGTGAAATCATTTAAATATGCGGATTATCGGAGTTCTGGAGCCAATTGAATTCCGAATACCTGGGTATTGGGGAAGAGGAGTTCGATTTTAAGACAGAGTGTAAGTGCTAGGAAAAGATTATTTGTGACTTTAAGATTTCTAGCTTTATGTGCTCGTATTCGTGTGCACGGTTTGTGTTTCAAAGAGTATTAGCTACTACCAAAATAATTTGTTATTTAGAATTTTATGATAGCTAAGTTATATAAGAATATTTGAATTATTAAATAGCTTGTTTACCTAAATCTTAAAACTAGACTGATGTCGTTTTGTGAAGACTGCTATAAAACTGATTTTGTTGTTAAATATAGGTCCTTACTAATTGATTAAAACAAAAAATACATAAGTACGTAGGCGGTCCCATAATGAATTGGCCTAACTATGAACTAATGAAGGAAATGAAACGAAATCAATTTTATTTTTCAATATAATCACCATGAATACTAACACACTTCTGACATCTGTGAATCAACATCTCCAAACCTTTATAAAAATAATCACATTTTTTATCCTCAAAATGACTGAAGACGGCCGCCTGCAACTCTTCATCGCTTGAAAATTTTCTTCCTCTTAAGTCCCGCTTTAAATTTGGAAATAAATAATAGTCGGACGGGGCCATGTCTGGACTGTAAGGTGGATGTTGAACTTCTGTGAACCCGCATTGACGAACTGCATCCTTCGAAACACCAGCGGTATGAACAAGGGCGTTGTCATGGAGCAACAGGACACCTTTAGACAGCTTGCCTCTTCGTTTTTCCTTTATCTTGTCTCGTAATTTATATATTAAAGAAGCATAATATTCGCCGTTCACGACTGTATTACGTTCTTTAAAATCCACCATCAAAATGCCTTGAAAATCCCAAAATATTGTGCACATCAGTTTTTTAGTCGATTATTGCACCTTTGCCTTTCTAGGGGGCTTTTCACCCTTATAACGCCATTCCATTGACTCGCGCTTGCTTTGTGGATCATAATACAAGATCATAGTTTCATCACCAGTCACTAGCCGCTCGATCACAGTTGGATTGCACAAAGATCCAAAACGCACTCTTTCCTGTCTGTACCGCTGAAAGAAGTTTCGGTACCCATCTTGCACTCACTTTTTTCATGCAGTCATCTGTGGGCAAAATTAAATTATTTAAATAAGACACAAAATCCAGCAGCTGTATATTAAAAATATTTTTTGATTTTTCCGAAAACATTCCATAATTCTAACATCTTCTTGCAACAATTAGATCGAATTACGGAGATTGCACTGTAATTATAATACCGATTGCTAAAACTTTCAAAAAGAAACTATTGAGGATTACTCGTGTAATTTTGCATGATTGAATATTAAACTACTAATAACTAAAGTCATGATTGGCGTAATTTAACTATCTTTGCTAACTACGAGTACAAAACTAAAATTTAATAAAAAATAATGTACTTACTTTTCTCCAGCACTCTCAAACAAAATAACACTGACTCACTATAATTTGTGTGATATACTCTGTTTATATTTTTTAAAATATTTTCTTAGCACTTTCCTTTTCAAGATTCAGGAAACGAATAAACGTATTTGTCCCACATTCGTATTTATAGAGTGACGAATTGAACAAGTCAGTGCAAGGTAGCGAAGCTCTGAGACTGCGACTCTCATGTTTTTACAAGTTCAAAGTGTATTGAGACCACAAAGCGAATACCAACATCCTACAACTTACACAATTTTATAAACATATATAATATTACTTCATAGGTACTTTTATAAATAATGTATATGTTTTGATATTATAAGATAGTATGATGTAAGTAAATAGGTGCTATCAGTGTATGTGTTGAGATCCACTATCGTGGACCCCCATTTTCATTTCATGGACCCAAATTTTTTTTCGCTGCCGTAGACCCCTTGTAGGTTGTCATAGACCCCTAGGGGTCGATAAAGACCACTTTGGGAATCACTGGTTTAGACCACAGGATAGAGAATTTTGTACAGACTCTATAATTGATTAAAACTACTTTTACGGATTTTTTCGTGTTTTATTTATTTTATTCTGCGTAGATCGGACCAAAGACAATAATTAAAAAAAAGCTGAAGGTACTCCGGGTTAACTTTAACATCGTGACGTCAGTCACCTCAGTCCCCCGTGACCTGGGTGCTGGAAAGCACCCGAAACGTCGTGTATTAAAAATAAAATAAATAAAAAGCGAAAAAAATCCGTAAAAGTAGTTTTAATGTACAGTGTTCGTGTAAATATAAGAAATCGGACTCTATAATGCCAAACTTCTTAGAAAAGTAGTCTATAAATATAAGTTTTTATGGTTTAAAGTGCTGTGTTTTATGGTTTAATATGTCGTAAATTGACAGTAGAATAAAAATAAAAATACATAGAGTATTGACTTTTGTTTAGACCACTGGATAGAGAATTTTATAATAATTTTAGAATGCTTAACTTCTTCATAGGAAAGAAGTTTCTAAACATAAGTTTTAATGGTTTACAGTACTGTGGGTGGGTGCGGTCGCATGCGACCGCTCGGGATTTGAATGACGCATGCGAATGCATGTTAATTTTATGGGGATTGAAGGGTTAAATAATGGTGTGAAGTGAATTTTGATTCGTAAAAGTGATGCTATTTTGTGAATTAAGTGTCCGCGAGTGTGAACTATTAGAGAAAATGACGAAACAAGTCTTTGATGTCGATATAAACCTGAAGTTATTTTGATCGCTCGGGCGCCTCATGAACTTGAGTGGCTGTCGTCGTCAACTGTCCGCTGGGTTGGGCTGTCGACAAAATCTCCCAATGGCATCAGCATTTTGTGAAGAAAAAGAATATAAAAATGAAGATTCCGAAAGAAATGATAGGCTCAGAAAGGCTAGAACCCAGAGCCGTAAAGCCAGTTATTAAAAAAAAATAGCTATCTATGTTCTTGTTTGGGAAAATTTGTTTTAGATTTTAGATTTGTTAATTTGTTTACCTTTATTCTCATTCATATTACGCATGTAAAATGAATATACCGTTTCCAGTTTTGTTACCTCGCCTTATAGACTCAAAATGGTTTAACGCAGACAGTCCTTGCGATGAAGAAGCTGAATTAACAAGTTTGGAACAAGCAAATCAACATTGGGTACAATAAATTTTTATTATAGAATAAGTGATAATCATCAAAAACTTTTTACTTTACCGACTTTATTAATTTTACAAAATAGTTCTGAATGTTTTTTTTTTGTATAAAATTTAGACTAGATCATTACTGCCTACAAACTGTTTAGCTATTCCAAAGATTACTCCAGACAAGGGTTGCGAGGTTTTAAAACCGAAAAGCCGGACAGACCAGCCAGTTTAGCTAGACATTTTGGTAAAAAGGCCGGACATCGTTAAGTTTTAGTCTTAGTATAACACTACAATATTTTTTTATAGTAAGACAATGCTTTTTATCATTTACTATAAAATCTTAAATTCTAATGAAATAATAAAAAATTGAATGAAACATCTAATATTCGTTACAATATTAATTTTAGTAAAAAGCTCAAATTCAAAAAGCCTAACAAAAGCCGGACACAGTCTAATTTGGCTGTACAAGCAACCAAAAAGCTTAACTGTGTCCTGCTTTATTTGTACACCTCGCAACGCTACTTCAGACAGATACAGATAAAAAATTTAAAAGCAACTTGTCTCCCCAGTGACTCGATCCCTTTATTAACTACAATGCATAATTAGTTCGGATGTGAAGAATTATATTGTACTTTATTGAACATAAAATTTTACAATACAGTTGTAATTCCTTCATGGGGCAATGTATACACTTTTACAACAAAGTCTGAAAATATGCAGGCCTTATCTATCAAAATTAATAAGGGTTTATTATATTATACTACTAAAGAGAACATGATTGATAAATAACTGCTGGGAATGAGGTGATCGCTACCGTGCTGTTTCTAAATGTTTTCGTACTAATAGTTGGGTTTCTTGCTAGTTTTTTCTAGGACAGAGGTTTATTTCTGAACTGGTGGTATAAGTAAAAAATTACTTTCAATAAGAATTATCTGTAATCCATATTGAATAAAAATGATTCTATTCCAATCAAACAAGCCAAAGTAAACACTAGCCTGAGGAGTACAATGAAGTAATAAAGTACATTATACTTCAGTATACATTAAAACGAAATAAGAACTATCAGTTATTTACAGTTTTCCATACCTTTTTAGATGACATTGGTACCATAGAAAAGGCCAGTAATAGTGCCAAGAATAAGGCAGACTATTTTTTGTGCTCCAAACCCTTCTTCAGAAATGATAGAAAGCCTTTATTTAATTGTAGGACATATGTAGACTTGCTTTTCTTATTTATTTAGAAGATATGTTCAACTAATACAATTTAATCATTTTGATTTGTAGTTAAGTTCTATTGGCCAACAATATATGAAAAGAGCTCCTTTAGGCAAAACAGATCCGGAACCAATGGAAGAAGAAGCAGATACAGATGAAGAAGAAGGTAGTTTTATTTCGCATTATTATCACCCTGTTAAATGACTTTACATAGTTTTTTTTATGTGAGAGGGGGCAAACAAGCATACGGTTCACCTGATGTTAATTGACTACCGCCGCCCATGACCAACTGCAACACCAGGGGAATTGCAGGTACGTTGCCAGCCTTTTAGAAAGGAATAAGCTCTTCTTGAAGGTCCTTAGGTTGTATAGGTCCGGAAAAATCGCAGGTGGCAAACTATTCCACAGAGAGTCGTATGCCAAGGAAAACTCCTAGTAAAACGTACAGCGGTAGACTGCCATGTTTCCAGTTGTTGTGGATGATTTTTAGGTTAGTTTAGTTTACGTTGGGCTGTTTTCCGCAACTCCACGTCTTAGCGCGTATTTTGCGTGTGGACGGGAATAATGTGGTTGGTTATTTGAGCCATGATATTTCCCCGAAGAAGTTCAACAGTCCTTTGATGTTGCAAGCAACTTCGGGGAGCGATCCCGGCGTGTCGAGTTGCTTAGCCCTGTATGAGGCGACTTCTGGACATGTCAGCAACATGTGAGCCGTCGTTTCTTTCTATCCCATGTATGGCTATCAGTAACACCTATGGTAAACAAATGTTTGTTAAAAGAGCCATGTCCTGTATAGCACTTGTTACTATCCTGATCTGTGGCTTGTTCAGTCTCATTAGAACTTTGTTTAGACGACTGTTTATTTCAGGCAGGGCCTCCCTAGCTTGTCTACAGTCTACTAAATTTTTCCAAAGATGTGTGGATGGTATCAGGAGGTTTGCCGCGTAGTGCGTTCATGAAATTTGGCGGCTGGGATTAATCCGAACAATTCCTCAGGGCACTCCCCGTGATTGATGCGAAAGAAAATGCAAAGAGATGCAACATCTCTTCACAGCACCCGTGAATCGAGGCTGTTAGTTAGTTTACAACGGACTGTTTTCCGCAACCCCTCGTCTTGGCGCGTATTTTGCGTGTGGGCAGGAATATTATGAATTATTCGATATATGCTCTGCACAGGGGATTATCTGTAACACTTATAGTAAATATATGTTTGTTAAAGGAGCCATATCCTCTAATGGAATTTGCTATCCTGATCTGTGGCTTGTTCAATCTCATTAAGACCTTGGTTATATGACTGTTAAATTCTGTCAGGGCTTGCCTAGCTTAAAGCCCTCTAGATTTTTCCAAAGCTGAGTGTGTTGATTAGTAAAATTTTTACGTACCAGTGAACGAACATTACCAAAAGGGATCGATATGATTGGTTCCGACCCTATAACGGACATAGCCGATCGTCTGCTGTGTCGTTGCGCCTGAATCCACTGTGTCCCTTGCAGTCAAATTGTTGTGTTTACATACCTCATTTAGTTGATGGCATTCATTTATTAGTCCCAAGTTCGCCATATTGCAACTCAGAGCTTGTAGTGCCGCCATACTGTTGGTCAGTATTCTGATGGGGAAATCTTCCTAGAAGAAAGAAAAAAAAAGAGAAAAAAAACCTTTTTAGTAACCTTCCTAGCATCTATTGCTATGACCGCTTGGATGATACCCATACATTCTGCCTGAAAGACTGTCTTGTGGGTACTCAGTGGTGTACATATGTGTATATATTGAGGTCTTCCGAGAAAGTTTCAGAACCTACACCTTCATGTGTTTTAGAATCATTTGTGAAAACTCTAAGCTCTTTTGGGTTTATTCCTCCGTAATGGTTGGTTTCATTTAATTGTATTATATTTCTTATCAAACACAAATTGTTTAGGGATCATCTTATCATACTTGGCTTGTGAGATAGGAATTTTTGAATAAATTCTATCAATTATACCTATATGAGGGTCTCTACTCTTACTCCAAAGATTTCGGGTCGTAAGTCTAATGGCAGCTAAAGTCGCTTCTTGTTGTATGTGTAGGTGATGCGGGGCTAGCTCCAGCATAGCCTCCAAGGCTGCTGTTGGTGTAGTCCTTATGCAGCCTGTGGAAGTCATAAATGCCAGTCTCTGGTAACGCTGAAGCCTCTTTATAGTGGTGGCTTTATTCGTTTCGGTCCACCATATCAGAGCGCCCTATGCGATCATGGGCCGATATTACAGTTTTTTTTACAAATACTGCCCCCTTAAATCCATTTCACACATCATTTCCATCGTCTTTAGGAGAAAAGATTAGAGGCTAATGGGTCTATAGGATTTTGGGTCCGTACAGTCGCTCTTACCTGGTTTGGATATAAACGTAATTGTTAAATGACCTATTATTATTAAATTTAAACCAAAACTTATTAAAGTTCGCGGAATGGCGGAGTTGGCGTGGGTAAGTTTACTCATCCAGGTGGGCGCTAGTTGAGCGACTCATTGTTAGTATATATACCAAGTTTTAGCCTAATCGGGTCATTAGCTTTTGAGTTATCAACGAGTAAACAAGTCAATCGAGAAGAAACTAGCCACTATGGATAAAATTGAATATCGCGCCGTCATTAAGTTTCCCACCAAACAAGGAAAGACACTTCAAACCATTTTTCAAGAGTTGTCAGCTGTTTATGGGGACTCCGCTCCTGGGGAAAACCATGATTTATAATTAGCCCTTTTCAAACAAGGGATGATGCCCGACTAAAGAAAAAACAGCTTGTAGCGTTAGTTGCAGTATCAGAAACAAACATTTTAAACATCCTACATTAAGACCTTGGCATGACAAGTCTGTGCAAGATAGTTCCGAGAATGCTTTCTGCGCATCAAAACATGAGCGCGTCAGAAGTTGTTGCGAGTTTTTGGACCGCTGCGGAGAGCAATGGGAGGAAGTTGTGGTCTAAATTGTAACAGGTGTTGAAATTTGGGTTCATTATTATGAACCTGATTCAAAGCAAGAGTCGACGTAGTGGCATAAAATAGGCACACCTCTTCCTAAGAAATATAAGGTATCTTAATATAAAATTATCGTAAGGTCGGAAAGATCATGGCGAAGATCCCTTGGGATACAGAAGGTATCCTTTTGATTGATTATATTCCTTATAATGTGTTCGTGGTGTTCCTATAACGGGAGAATACAACGTTTCTTAACTAGATCAATCGAAAGAAGCTATTAAAGAAAAAAGGCGAGGAAAGCTTACAAAAGGCGTGCTCCTTTTGTACGACAATGCGCCCGTGCACACAAGCCATGTTGTGACGGCCGCTATTCACCGGTACGGTTTTGAACAACTGCGCCACATTACACCTGGCCCCAAGCGACTATTATTTGTTTCCAAAATGAAGAAAGAACTGCGTGGGAAAAAATTGGCGATGATGATGAAGTGAAGCCCAAGCCAAATATTTTTTGTAGACGGTATTAATAAGTTATTTGACAGTTCTAATAAATGTATTGTGGTTAAGGGAGAATACATTGAAAAGGAATAATAGTTTAATGTTTCATTTCATTATCCTTCCCTGTCATTCCGCGAACTTTTTGACCTCCCCTCGTAGATGTTGTATCGAAGGCGGGCGAGCCTCTAGTTGTGATTGACGCTTATTTGTGCTGTGCAATTGTGCTTATCGTATTTGAACAAAATACATAATATAAGCTATTTTTACATGCACTTACTTTTAAAGTAAAACCAACCCGCAATTTTGAGATAGTAATATTATACTCCATTTAAACAACAGAATGTGTTCAGAAGAGGTGTAAGGGCCTGTTCACACAGAGACGAGAGTCGACGCGACGCGGCGTGCACTTTTTAAGATAGTGATACAAAATATAACTTTATTTACATACTACACGAAAAGATACACATTTTATTGAGATAATTCGAAAATGGCCCGCGGCGTAAGTTTACGCCGCGCTGCGCCTCGAGATTTCTCGCGGCGTAGCGTGAAGCCGCGTGACGCAGCGGACGCAGAGGCGCTGCCTGAAGACGTTCTGTGTATTTCTATTAGGCGTTGCGCTGCCAGGGACTTCACGATGCGTCTCGCGACGTCGCGCTACATCTCGCGACGGCAAGCTGCGAGGTGCGAAACCACCAGCCCCTTCAAGCATCGTCGCGTTGCGTCGCGTCTGTGTGTGAACTGACTCTAAGTGTACCTATGTCACTTGAAAGTTTTAATGCTTAAGTAAAATTAACAATATTCCACAAATAACATTGTAAAAAATATGAATTTATACTGATTCATCATTAAAATTTCTAGGAAATGACGAAACGGATGAATCTGAGGAATCTCATGATGAAGATGAAGAAGAGGAATTGCGAACATCATATTCACCCGCAAGAAATAATAATGAATTGGAACCAGATATTTTGGAAGTCATTAATGAAGAGCCAGAACTCAATTCATCTGACCAAAGTGCGTTGTGGCCTATTCAATAAGTTTAAATAATACTTGTGACTGAATGCATGTAAATAACAATGTTATAATGAAAACAGGAATCTTCACTTTAGATTTATCTTCTGGAATTTACATGATATCAAACGCAAAGTGTATAATGTATTAAACTGTATTAAATTAACTAAGTATTTTAAATTAGCTTTTTACCCGCGGCTTTGCTCGCGTGGGCTTGAATTTAGAAACATCGATAATACTATTTCGTACTAAAATAAGCAAAACTGGATCACTTGTAGAGAGACGTCGGTATCTGTGTCTATATTGGCAATATTATATAGGCTACAGAAACACATAAGTTAGTTTATCAGAATCACATGAATATCATACGTAAAGCTACACCTTTTTTTAAATCGGGCACGTATTCCGATGTGTCATTATGAAGGGAAAATATTCCTGGAATAGGAAATGCGTAATTTACATAATAATCATTATTAAAGTTGATACAGTTTTGATAAAATAAGGTTTTATTTCACGATATTTATTAATATTGGTCCCATTGAATATTGATTACCACCACATACCAGTATTCTTTTACGTTCGACTAGACGTAGACCACCGAGAACGTGGTAAATTGATACTTCAAATTGCAGTTAAGATATTAGTGGACTCGGCGCGGATCTAATTTGACTTAGCGATCAGCCGCCGTAGAGTCTACATTACCTGAGGATGCCTCGTGTAGAGGCGAAACTCGTGTCGTTTTATCGTCGATGGTGTGTCTTACATGGAATAGTGGTGTTGGGAGTAGTGGTGCTGGGACTAGTGGTGACGGAGTTAGTGCATGCAATTGAGGTAGGGCGGGAGGTGCTCTTCAATCCAGATAAGACACATCATTGTATTTATTTAGCGGAAGGTTGCGAAGAAATTTATATTTTTATTCTTTACTAATTTGAGTTACTTACGTAACAACTATGAAATCACATTACAAACCCGTGTTTATCATTTGCTTTCTTTGATATTTATAGTACTTTTTCACAAGAGCCTATTAATTTACTCGTGTGAGCTATGCAACCGGGACTGTCATAAAAATTTTAATAGGACGCGGCGACTTCGCGGCCGTAATTTTGCCGCGAAGTCGTCGCGAAAAGCATATCGAATGGACGCTGAAATACGCACTGCCATCGCCGTGACGCTATGCGCTTTGGCTCACGACAATAACGTGTATATAAAAGATAAAAAAGGTATTTGTAGTTTTTTTTACAATTATCGCTTTCTCATAGAAAAGCATCGATCACGTCAAAGGCAATTCAAATGGGCTTGTAAATTTTGTCGCCGTTTGCTCCAGACTTTCTTTTAGAATCCTTCACCTTTTTCTTATAACTCCTATATAATTAAATGTCCAGTACATTAGATTTTCTTTTTTTTTAAATCAGTCACTTCAATATTCATTATTTCCTTTATTCGTATCCATGCATCATGTACTTGCATTTTATTTTTGTGATCTTTGTGTTTTTTTTTATTAAGTGCGAGCAGCTATGCAGGTCTAGGGAAAGAGATCAGTATCACTGCGACCTAGAAGATCTATTGTGATCGCTGCTATGGCTGTAGTTCACGGCTAAGCCCTTTGTCTTTAATGAATAGAAGGAGTTGCTTAGCCGTGAGCAATTTCACTTCTTCTGGGCGGAGTACATAGTTTCCCAGATGAGTGTTACGTTTGCGCATTAAGGGTCCGCAATCAGTTAGGATGTGTAGAGGCGTTTCTTCCGTTATGGAACAAAACCGACACATCCTTGAGTTGCTTAGTCCCAGGATGGACATGTGCTTTTTAAGACAACAGTGTCCAGTTAGGGCTCTTGCCAGAATGCGTAATTTATTTTTACTTAATCCCAGGGTTTCTGAAGCGAATTTACGATCAAAAGTCCGGATTAAGGTTTTAGAATGTTTTAAGCCTGGTGTGTCAGACCGGATCTTAAGTGATTTATTGTGATAAAAAGTTTCAAGGGTAAATCGGAATGCCTACAATACCCTCGTGACCCGGAACCCATCTTAAAACGACCCTGTTGTTACATCCCAGGGTGTTTAAATGGTTCACGCAGTCTCAAACTAGCTTCGAGTTCACTAAGTTTGACCTCAGCGCTAGCAGTGCTGCTTGACTATCAGAGTTTATGTAAATTATATGGTTGACGTAGTGTTTTTGCAGATTGATTTCCGCACACCGAAGTATGGCGAAAATTTCTGCCTGGAAGATAGAGGTGTATCTACCCAAATTCATGCTAAGTTTGAATTTGGGGCGTTCCTCGTAGATTCCAAAACCTACGTCGAGGCCCATTTTGGACCCATCGGTATTCCATATGAGGCTTCCGACCTCACAGATAACATGGACAGGTCAGTCTTCTCTGGAGGGTAATTCCACTATATCGGGTGTCCGGTAATGAATGGATAACCTTGAAATGTCTTATAGTACAGCTTGTGACCGTTGTGAAAAAAATACGAAACATATCACAAGTAGTACCTTTGATATTTTTTTAAAGAAAAGTCGATTTTTTCTATCTTATTTTACTGTCTTGAACACTATGACTAAAAATGAATGATTTCTATTGGTTTTTTCTTGTTTTATTATTATACACTAACTGTGCTGATAGATAAAAAGTAAACATTATGAATAGCTTTTGCAGTTTTTATTTAAAAGTTTCGCAAATTAATTTATTTCTGAAAAACATGCAAAAAATTTATTATTTAAGCGAAGTTCAAACCTCTTGCGTATGAAAAAAATGTATGAATGTATGGGTGACCAATAATTTTACAATAATGTCGGTTTCGTGTAGATTTTATAATGGTATAATTTATAAATGTATCTTCCATAAATAGTGACTTATTGCCATTAATGTAGAAAAGGAGAAAATTTGACTAAGTAACTAAATTTGTAATATGGGAACATTTATTAATTTTTTTTTAAATGGAAAGAATATTAATAATGCTATAAACATTACTAATATTCCCCTTAACCACTCGTGGTAAGCTTAAATTGCTTGTTACGAGTGGTTTACGCCAGTAGTCAAATAGCGGATTCGAACCCACGATCTTTTTGAGTTCGCGGTCCGCGCCCTGCCATTAGGCTACTGTCGCTTCGAATTGTGTCTGGCCATTGAGGATAAATAAAAAACAATATTTAAAATTAAAATATTTTATTTTTCATTAATTTACAACAAATGTTCAAATTGTTTGCCTCCCACTCTTATGCATGCCCTACATCTTCGGATAAATGATCTTCTGAGCAGTCTTGTTTACCGTCGCTCGCATATTTTTGATGCGGCTGCTCTGATACGACTGCGTAGTTCGTCCAAAGACCACACAGGCTTACAGTATACTTCCTCTTTCAGATAGCCCCAGTAAAATAAATCCAATGGATTTAGATCCGGTGCACGTGGAGGCCACAAAATTGGCCCTAGACGTCCGATCCATCTGTTTGGGTATCTGCTATTTAAATATACACGAACCGGAACAGCATAATGCGCAGAACAACCGTCATTTTGCAGCCAATACGATTCCCTCAGCTCCTCGGGAACCAGACTACCGCGTATTTATAAGAGTCCACGGTTGTTACTCCGAAGGAAGAATGCCGGGTAGTGGTGTCGGTGGTGCTACCGCTGGAAGAATCGCTCGTCCTGATGTAGAAGACGTGGTGCTTGAGGAGATTGAAAACGATCCTTCAACCTCTACGCGAGCAATAGCTCGACGCACAGGTGTTGGAAAATCGACCGTACACGATATTTTAAAGAAAAACGAATTCCACCCTTACCACGTCACACGCGTGCAAACTCTCCAACCAAGAGATTATCTCTCAAGAGTGCGTTTTTGCTGGCAAATGCCGGCAAAGATGAAAGAAGACCCGCAATTTTTTATCGTCGTAAATGTCACCAAACGCAAAACAAGTCCAAATCAGTAAGCAAAACGAATAGTCCGGTAAAATAGCCAAGTGGTCGTTTTAACACTGATTTAAATAATTGCAAACGGAGACAAAATAAATACATGCGAAGTCGAGCAAGTCGAGTGACGCACTAAGTTCTCTTTTACATTTAGCTCTTCTCTCTCCCACTTACCCAATTCAGACCCCTCTTTGTCTAACACAAAAGACAGCAGGTAGCAAATATGAAGGTCACACGACCCATTTCACGCTAGTAAAGTAACCATTTTAACATTTAAATTGGTTATTTTATTACATTTAAATAAGTTAATTTCTAATACTTAATTTGGTTTCAATTTGTTAAAAAATAGCTGTTTTCATGTATGATCAACTCCTGATGTGTTTTTATTAATCCCCAATGATCAGACACAATTCAATTTAATAAATGTTCCCATATTACAAATTTAGTTACTTAGTCAAATTTTCTCCTTTTCTACATTAATGGCAATAAGTCACTATTTATGGAAGATACATTTATGAATTATACCATTATAAAATCTACACGAAACCGACATTATTGTAAAATTATTGGTGACCCACACATTCATACATTTTTTTCATACCCAAAAGGTTTGAACTTCGCTTAAATAATATTTTTGCATGTTTTTCAGAAATAAATTAATTTGCGAATTTTTTAAATAAAAACTGCAAAAGCTATTCATACTGTTTACTTTTTATCTATCAGCACAGTTAGTGTATAATAATAAAACAACAAAAAATCAATAGAAATCATTCATTTTTGGTCATAGTGTTCAAGACAGTAAAATAAGATAGAAAAAAATCGACTTTTCTTTAAAAAAAATATATCAAAGGTACTACTTGTGATATATTATGTTTCGTATTTTTTTCAGAACGGCCATAAGTTGTACTATAAGACATTTCAAGGTTATCCATTCATTACCAGACAACCTGTATAATTTTTATCAACAGAATGTAGTGGACGCATGATATCTGAGATCATGCATAAGACCGGTGATTCCTTAATTGAGTCGAGCATGGATCTCAATCTGTAGGAGAGCAAGCTCAGACCGCCCTGGGCGTTAATCCTATACAAACTAGCCCTCGCCTCCTTGTCTAGATAAAGATCAAGGAGCGTTAGGCATAGAAGTGCATTAAGAGCCGCTCCAGGCGATGATCGCATAGCTCCAGTTGCCATTAAGCAGGCAGTCCGTTGTAGACTAGTCTGTCCGCAGTCGTCTTTTGGTTGGCCTTCTTACACCAGACAATAGAGGCGTAGGTTACAATCGGCCTCACTATGCTGCTGTACAGCCATAGGACCATACTGGGACGCAAGTCCCAGTTGTTCCCGAACAAACGACTGCACGTACCTTAAGCAATTTTTGCCTAACGTATGCCACGTTGCTAAGGTGAGAGTTCCACGTTAGTTTTTGGTCGATGTTACGCCCAAGTACTTAACTTCCGTGGAAAATGGTACTTCTTTACCATTAAGTTTTGGTTGGACTAATTTTTTCAACTGTCTCTTTTTGGTAAAAGGTATTATCTGGTTTAAGAAATTTATTATCTCAAGAATTTTACATTCACTTATGAGACTTACACATCTTCAGCTTAATATAAATTTGGTTTGGGCTATTCGTACAAGGTAATAATGCAAATTACAACAAAAACTACCGAAGACATACAAAACTCAATGTAGGTGGTTTTAAAAAATTTGTTTAGCGACAGCAATGGCTCGTCAGACTTCGTGCAAATTCGGCCGCCGACTTTTTAATGTCGATTTACACAGATAAGCATTACTGGATGTGACTCGCATAAACTAAGTGTTATTATTAGTATGGTAGATTAGTTTTGATAGTTAAGAAAAATCGGATTAAGTGTCATATATGATAATTTATATCTTTAATGAGCTGTTGTAATATTTATATTATTTATTATTTCGAAGTAACTTAAATAGTTAATGTTTTTATTGTATAAGCAGATGTTAACTTAGATATTTTGTATTTATTTATACCAGTTATTGAAACATGAAATTATTCATATTTTTTATATATATATATATATATATATATATATATATATATATATATATAATATGTAACGTAATTAACGCACACCCTCAGACACCCCAGTTAGTATATTATGTTATAATCATAATACATATACTGATTTTTATTTAAACATTTGTATGCACTGATTATTTATCAAATTAGTTATACAAATTCCGGAAGAATGTTGTGGTCACAGTACAATTACGCAAAAAACGAAAAGACTTTAACGTGCTTGAAATAAAGTTCATTTTTCTTTATTTTCGCTAAACTGCATTCTTAAAAGTCTTATTGCCTTAAGTTACGGTCCATTTCAGTTTGTTTTTACTGTACAGATTTAGTGTGACTGTAGTTGTAGTAGTTTTAGTAATTTTTGGGATAAAAAATTACCTATATTAAAAATGATAGGAATCGATCCAGTAAACGATTCTGAACAAACTACTGTCTCAAAGTGCGTTAATTATGTTACATATTGTGTATATATATATATATATATATATATTTTTTTTTTTTTTCAGAATGGGTCCCACATATATGCAATAAATGAAACCATATACTTGTTATCGCCTTTGCTGACGATATACAAAAAATGAACGTAATCGGTCCAGTAATTAGGTCAAAAAGTAGAGTTTTAATTTTAAGCAAATTTGAACTCTCTATAGAATTGGGTCAGTAATGATTAATGTTATTAATTCCACCAAACTATTGGTATTGCGACATATCGACAGCGGTGTCTTTTGTCGGCGTCCATAAACAAGCGGCACGAGGCACGCGACGTACTTCAAAGGCGACAGCACAAGTGCGCGCGCGCCTTTGTCGTAGAGTAGGACACCAGTTGTCGACGATTAGCTTCTTTCAAAGGGAGTAATAATAGATAAACAAAAAAAAAATGGTTAGCTTTAAACACTTAGGGTATGGTTTTTTTAGAATAATCGTGTTGTTATGATAATTCTAAAAACACTACGACCTAAGTATTTAAAGCTAAACTTTAAAGCTTTTTTGTTTAAGTGTGTTCTTGTAGATTTAGAGATAATAAATTATTTTAACATGCTAAAAAACCCATAAAAACAACCAATTAAAAAGTCATACATACTTACCCGTTTCCCAGGAAGTTACAAATCGGTAGTTTCGTAAGTTCAATTGTATAAAAATAAACCTTTTTTTTTTAACAATCAATAACTTGTAGATTGTTATCAAATCAAAAATCAAAATTACTTGTATTCAAATGTAGTAGGTAAGTAAGTGTAAAAAGAAAAGTATCGATAAACGATGATTGCACCTTGTGGCCGCCCTATTTATTACTTTTATTATTTTCGCCATTTTGGAATTTGGAAATTCGGCTTCCAGTTCACGCGCAATTCTCCCAGAATACAGGTGTGTTTCGCTGCCTACACGCATCGCAATTATTTATCGTAAGATAATTATCGTATTATCGTAAGATAAATACAATTAGTCGAACAATTCTTTTACGGTGAAATAGACACTTATTAGGTAATTGACTTTGTGTGTGTAAATAGTGTTTTTAAGTACGTTTATTTTTATTATTTTTTCACTGTGATATTGACACTACTTGACTTTTGTGTATACGTTTTGGCGGCGGTCACTCTTCCAAGGGGTCAAGGTACGTTGTCTAAACAGAGTGTTCACTTTTACTGAATTTATTTTAATATTTATTTTGTTTGAAAATTTCACTTTTTTATTTTACGGGTTTTAATTTAATATTTAATTTTTCTACACTTCTACGGACTAGTATTACTTGTGGTTTCATTTATTGCATATATGGGACCCCATTCTGTATATATATATATATATATATATATATATATATATATATATATATATATACTCATATGTATACATATATATTTTTATATATTATTTATATATGTATAAGTGTGCTTACTCTTTCAATATGTGATACTTAAGTAGTCTTTTAAATGTGTGCATTGATTTTGAGTCTCTTATATCTTTACGTAATTTGTTATATATTTGGGAACCTTCATACATTATACATACATTTTTTACCGAAATTTGTTCGCGGTGTTATTAATTCAATATCGTTGTTTCGCCTAAGTTTCATTTTGTGTAGTTTTATTCTTTTTGGTAGAGTTGTATTCGTGTGTATATCTTTTTTTTAAATTTTCCGAATTAGTATACAATTTTGGTACATGTTTATGATATGTAATATACGTTTGTGATATGTTTATTACATTAATTTGTTTATAAAGTTTATCTGTCGGTGCAAGATAATCGAAATGAAATAATACTTTTAATAATTTATTTTGGCCAGTTTGTAATATTGCTATATTAGTTTAGGCTGCATTACCCCATATTTCTACTAAATAATCGATTTGTGGTTTAATAATTGTATTATAAATCGTATACGGACAAAACAGATCCGGAACCAATGGAAGAAGAAGCAGATACAGATGAAGAAGAAGAGTATGCATTATTATACGTTAAATGACTTGACTTACGGGGGGGCATACGGTTCACCTGATGTTAATTGACTACCGCCGCACATGACCAACTGCAACACCAGGGGAATTGCAGGTGCGCTGCCAGCCCTTTATAAAGGAATATGTTCTTCTTGAAGGTCCCTAGGATATATAGGTCCGGAAAAATCGCCGGTGGCAAACTATTCTACAGAGAGTCGTATGCGGAAGAAAACTCCTAGTGAAACGTACAGCGGTAGACCGCCGAGTTTCCAGATGGTGTGGATGGTTTTTAGTTTAGTTTACGACGGGCTGTTTTCCGCAACTCCACGTCTTAGCGCGTATTTTGCGGGTGGGCAGGAATAATGAGGTTATTCGAGCCATGATATTTCCCCCAAGAAATTCAACAGTCATTTGATGTTGCAAACAACTTCGGGGAGCGATC